GGAAGGAAGGAAGGAAGGAAGGAAGGAAGGAAGGAAGGAAGGAAGGAAGGTCAACCATTGCTTGGTTAAATAAGAAAAGTAACTTTTACCTGCAGGGTTCCAGTCATGCTATAAGGTATCTAAGCTTGGCCCCAGTTGAGGCACAAATGCCAAATTTCCTCTATTCCCTGCTGCTTGTCTACTTCTAGAGCAGCTGTTGCCACCTACCACTTTCCAGGTCCACACCTCATGGTCATGTGGGGTAAGACTTCTAAAAGTTGTGGTTCAGCACCCCTGGCTGGAGAAGGTTGCTCCAGGCAAGTAAGTGCATCTCATACCTGCTCCAAGGCTCTACTTCTACCATTGCACACCTGTGGGTTGTTGGCTTGTGTGTGTCAATGCGTCTTCTTCCTCCTCCTCTGGCAACATAAGATCACCTCTGTATAACCACTTCTATTGTTTCTCCTCCAGATAAATTGCTCTCTCCTAAGGCTTTGAAAGGGGCTGACAGTCCTCAACTTACTAAGAATTACTACACTGTGGTAAGCCTGTGAAGTCTCTGTTATTCCTGAATTCTGTTAACCAGAAGGATGCCTGTAAATATTTCTTTGTTTATTAAGAATGAAAGCAAAGGGTGGAGCACCTTTGCACATGTGGTGGGGAAGAAATGAAAGTGCTATATAAATATTTCATATGGTTCATATTCCATAGAATCATATAATTTAAGGGTTGGAAGAGACCATCTAATCTAATCCTTACCCATTGCAAGAATTCACTACTACAATATCCCTGAAAGCAGCCATCCAGCCTTTCTTCAAACATCTCAAACAAAGAACAGTCCATCACTTCCTGAGGCATCTGTTCTGTTGTTGAACAGTTCTTACTATGGGGAGTAAGAACTCCTTGCTGTCCAGTCAACATCAACTTCCTTGTAATTTAAGCCCCCTGTTTCTTCTCCTGTCTTCTGGAACAACTCAAGACCAATCTATTCCATCTTCTTCATGATAGACCTTCAGGTTCAGAAAGACAGTCTTCTCCAGGCTGAACCCCTCCAAGAACTTCTCTTAAGCAAAAAATATATACACATTAGTGAAGTGAAGGTTGCATGAATAGCCTTATTCACACGTCACACTAAACTGTGTTACTGAATTAACCAATTCTAGAGTTTGTGCAATCCACTGAACCATAAACTTAACTATAAATGGGTTGGCTTCACACAACACACTAAGTCATAAAAAATCAAGCCAAGCTTAAACTAAGCATATGTTGAGCAAATGCAACAACCAGGTGTGCCCTGGTTATGAGAATTATCTGAGAAGTACATGGCTCTTCTCAATTTCACTTTTCTTAGCTAAGGAAGACGCTCCCTCGCTTCAGCATCACAGCTGAGTCTCCTGCTTTTTGGCCTATTGAAGTCACGCTGTAGTTGAGAGACAGAACACGGAAATGCATTATCCTTTCCAAGAAAGGTCTCTTCTAATGTTGGCTCCCGTTTTGAGCGTAAATGGTCCACTTTGAATTGAAACGGAGAAGAGACTGGCTTAAATGTCTGTTTCATCCCCAGGACTTCCTTCTTTGAATTTAAGCCTCTGGCACGTGGATGGTTGGGCCAGTGGGGATGTCAGAGGTCAAATGCATTCCTGGGGGGCGCGTTGGGAAAGGTTTTATTATTAGAAAGGAGAATAAAATTCTTAAGAGAGCTCCCTCTTGTGATTTTAACCTCTAGATTTTTGCTGTTTTGTCAGGGGAAAAAAAATTCAACTCTTATGCCATTTTTAGTCATGCTATGCCAAAAAGTTCTCCTGCCTCTTTTTGCTAGGTCTTATTTACTTTGGTGGAAGAGAGTTAGCTTTCAACTTTTCTTCCAAAGGAGAAGAGAATTGCAATGACATTCTTCTGGGGGAGCACAGCATTCTTGCCTTTAATTTTTGTCCAAGCAGCAAGGGGGTGGATGGAGGGAAACGTCTCATATTTCCTTTCAAAAGAATGTCTCCAGCGCTCGGCCACTTTCCATGTATTACAGTTAAATTCCAAGGAAAGAAATCAGGTGACGTTGCTCTCCATAGATATTTATGAATTGATGATTTATTAATCTCATTCGTCCTTTCCAAGGACGTGATCCCCGTGGTAGTGGTTCAGTAAAATACCCACAATTTTTTAAAAAAGAAAATATGTTAATGTAGCCATTTTTATCCTGGTTATCAAATGCCAGCCCAAGAAGGAAGGGTTTTATCTCTCTCAACACAGCATGAAAATTTGGATTCCAAATTATAAAGGGTAGAAGTTTACTGTGATGGGGCAGTCCCAGAGACTATTTCTCTGACTGAACCCTCAAGGCCTAAAAATATGTAGCCTGGGGTTTCATTGCTTATCAATATATCAATATCAATATGGAACCACCCAGAGCCGCCCCCTGGGGGAGATGGGTGGCATATAAATGTAATAAATAAAATAATAAAAATAAATAAAAATACCCAACTTTTTCCATATCCTGGAAGGCAGCAATATTGTTGCCCAAAAAACAGCATAAACAACAGAAACTGACCTCAACTCAAGGGTTTCTTTCGAAAAGCTAAGAAGGGTTGGGTCTGCTTCATGCTTGAATGGGAGAGTCAAGACTGTAGGCTAAACTGGGAAGGTGAAAAACCTATCTTGGAAGCACACAATGACAAACCATTTCCAACTGTTGCCAAGAAACTACACAGATGTTTGTATGAAGTCACCAGCAGCTGAGCTGACTCAAGGGAGACTTTATTTTTAGCATTCCTTATTAGCAGCCTACATGACCGTAGACACGTGATGAGAGGAATTCCATACTCATGGGCCTAGCCATGTTGATAAGCATATAGTATGTTCACAGATTCCATGGTTCATAGGCAAGATGTGTTTGGATCCTAACACACATAATTAACGCACATTCCTAACCCGTCCTTTATTTCTCCTGCTTATGAACTCAACTGCTCCAGGTGCTTCAAAATATTTTGGAAACGGAGCGAGAATATGCCAAGGAACTACAGTCACTTCTAGGAACCTACTTAAAGTCTCTCCAGTCTTATGACAAGTAAGATTATTTCAGGTTGATCTCCATTAATGTGGATGAGGACAGATGGCCACTTCTGAAATGATCATTGATGACCAGTTCTTCCAACTCTACAGCCTGGTCTTTAGCTGCTGGCAGATTTAAATGCCTCTTTAATTGATGGGGATGGTCTTTTGCTTTGCTTCTCTAACCCTTCCAGTGTTTTAATGTCCTTTTCAAATGTTTGATTGCCCTTAACCACTTAAGCCTAGCCCACAAAATGGGGAAAAGGGTCTCCGTAGTGCCAAGGGAAAGATCCACACTCAAGGGCACAATAGTAATTGGGAAAACTGAGGAACAGATTGTTTGTGATCAAAACACTGAGGGTGGTCTTTACAGTGGAATGGAGACCACTACTGACTTCCCACCTCCCTTAAGCCAAGATTTTCTTCTCCCGTTGAGGAATATCCTTTCATTATATGCATATTTCTAGGCTGAGTGCCATGGATATAGCATCTTTGCTCGGAAATGTGGAGGAGATCTGTACCTTTCAGCAGACGCTCAACCAGGCCCTTGAAGACTGTGCTAAGTAAGTCCTGAATGTGTTCTCTGTGGAAAGTTTTCTTATTTAAAATCTGCTCCTTGGGGGTCTAGCAGAAGAAGGCTTCAGGTGGGATGTGAGACACTTGGTTATTTCATAGATTTTCTCCAGACTGTTTTGGATGAAATGTTATGGGTTTTTATGGTTGTGTTGTGGCATTTTGTAAACTGCCCAGAGTTGTACAAATGGGGCAGCCCATACATCTAATAAGTAAATAAATGAATGCTGGCAGAAAAGCTTCTTCTCCACCTTGGAACAGCCCAGGAAAGTTCCCTTCAGCTGAGATAGAATTGAAACTTGAAATTCCAACCAACGGCTTCATTTATTAAATCTGGGTCCTGTCTGTATCTTCTATAGACTTCCAGAACACCAGCAGAAAGTGGGAGGCTGCTTCCTAAATCTGATGCCCCAGTTTGCGTCTCTGTACCTCACTTATTGCACTAACCACCCATCTGCGGTCAATGTCTTGACCCAACATAGGTAAAAACAAGAACCAAACCCTGCCCTTGGGAAAGATAAGTGCCCAATGGGCTGATCTCTTCTCTATCATCTTGGGTACTTGTCTTCCAGTGAGGAACTGGAGAAGTTCATGGAAAGCCAAGGGATGGCCTGCTCTGGAATATTGACCTTAACCACAAGCCTCAGCAAACCCTTCACACGGCTGGATAAATACATTTCCCTTCTGCAGGAACTTGAGCGGCACATGGAGGTAAGCTTGGAGTGGGGAGTTTTTTATTAAGGACAAGTTTTCAATATTGGTTAGTACCACCGTTATTCAGTTACAGACTCTTCCTAGTGTTGTTTTGGCTTTTTTTTTTTTTCATGATTCTCTGTGGTCATCAGGGGTCTGCCTGGGTCTACATCCTGGCAGGTGGGCTTCTGGCAGGAGCCCCTTTCCCTGGACCACTTGCAAATTGATTCTTTGCCCAGCTCTTATGGTGGTCCAAAGACAGCAAGAACCAAGCTAAAATGGCGGAGCCCACGCCAGACATTTCGCCCCCTGAAAAGAAGAGCAAAGTATCTTTCCTTCAGTTCATGCTACTCAGATGAGCAGGCAAACCATGATAGGCACAGTCCCAGGAGAGCATCCTGTTCCACATCAAAAGGAAGCTCTTCCTTCTCATTGCTTCCTAACTCTGATGCCCCAGTTTGCATCTATGTACCTCACTTATTGCACTAACCACCCTTCTAACTGCCATTCCCAGGCCCCTTAGCCATTGACAGGAGGAAGGAAGGAAGGAAGGAAGGAAGGAAGGAAGGAAGGAAGGAGGGAAGGAAGGAAGGAAGGAAGGAAGGAAGGAA